AGAGAGAGAGAATGTTTTACAGAACGGGTTGTCCCAGCACGTGAGACATGTATTTACTAATGTCCTGTCTTGTTGTGTGTATGCGTGAGTGCACCTAACCTTTGTAACATCCACTGCCATTGTTAACGACCAGGACAAATTTCTCCTGCGAGATGAATAAAGATTGTCATAGCCATTGTCATCCTTAGGATGTCGCGGGGAGGTGCAGGTTTCGGTCCTGAGCTAGGTGTGTAGCGTCTGTGATAGATATCTTATGTTGTTCCAGGACCTTTTTAACCCCATCCAGCCAGATCTTTCTTGGTCTTCCTCTTGATTTCAAGCCGGATTCTCGGGTGTTGTAAGCTCTAGCCGCTAGTTGTTTCTGGTGCATTCTGGTTAGATGTCCAAACCATTTGACTCTTTGACGCTTTATGAGTTTGATTACTGGTGGTGTTCCGGTTAGTTAGACCTCCTTTTTTGTCTTGTTCTTTATCTTTGTCCGGCGAACAGGCGTGTGTGGTGTGTGGAGTCCAGAACTGGACTGATGGCGGTAGAACACGAAGTAAACACAGGAAATCATGAAATAATGGAAAGATGGAAAGATGCGAGTCTGCTCAGAGCAAAGCAGACTTTATTCTTTTGTTGTAACGGTACGACATGACATGAGGGAAGAAAGTAGGTCAGTAGAAAACAAAAGCTTTCGATCTATGGGTCATTTGTTCAATCAATGGATTTCCATTACAAGACACTGAGTAGGATTACGTCCTGTAGTTACCCCACAGTGTAGGGTTTTGTTACGGTCATGATGTAGGATTTACCAATGGCATATTCTACTCTAGGTAATTAATATGACTCTTACATGGTCAAGCAGTTAGGTAGTTCCCCATCACGCACAGGGGACGCGAGTTTATATCCCGTGGGGTGGGGGGGGGGGGATTTTTATCGAGTATCTCGATCTTTTGCTTGAATGTTGTATCCCTGTCAGCCTGGGTTGGCCATGGCAAATTCAGGGTTGAAGTCTTCCTTCTAAATTATCTAAATTGTGTTAATTAGGGTGTAAAATGACCTACTGTTTGTTGGCTTGACCTCAGGGTAGCCATCTGTAGCTTGTTAGTCTGTCGTGTGACAGGAGCTACAGCATCAGTTGTTTTCTTCCGGTATGTAGAGTGGGTGGTTAGAGGGTGCTACAAGTTGGCGTTTTTCTTTACTTTCCCTTTTGTGATTTTTGTCTAAAAGTTTTTACCTTTTCCCTGCACCAAATGACCGTGGTGTGTCAATGTGTGACCGCGGTGTGTCAATGTATGACCAGAGTGTGTCAATGTATGACCGGAGTATGTCAATGTATGACGTGGTGTGTCAATGTATGACCGGACTGTGTCAATGTATGACGTGGTGTGTCAATGTATGACCGGAGTGTGTCAATGTATGACCGGAGTGTGTCAATGTATGACCGGAGTGTGTCAATGTATGACCGTGGTGTGTCAATGTATGACCGGAGTGTGTCAATGTATGACCGTGGTGTGTCAATGTATGACCGTGGTGTGTCAATGTATGACCGGAGTGTGTCAATGTATGACCGGAGTGTG